GATTTTCAGAAAATGAGAAGAAGAAAAAAGCGCAATAGTTATCAGTTATTTGTGATCAGAACAACAGAAACACACAAATTAGGATTAAATTATAATTCACTAAATAACGTAAATAATTCTAGTGAAACATATAAACTTATAAGTAACTTTTCAGGCTTTTAACGTGACTACTCATATTTGTATTTAATAAAGTGTTTAGACTATTACCACGTTTTTTTGTTGTTTTTTTAGTTTTTTTTTAATGCACAAGCTTTCGATTCAGTTACATAAGCCTTCTGTAGGTGCGAGGCGTACACAGCCTTCCTAAAAGAGATTCAATTTTTGGAGGCATCGCACTACTTACAAACCCAAAACAATTTCAAAATATAAGCAAGATAAATGCCTTTTCATCGCTAGTTTACAACGGCTGTGATTATCATATTCAAAATAACCTATATAGTTCATTGGTGTGTTTTTGTTTACAGTTTATATCTGACAATTACATCTGTAATGATAATGAAGTCCTTTGACAAATTGACTTGACATTAAAGGAACAATGTGCCTTGAAAATTTAACAGATATTACTCAAAATTAATCAAATCGTTTTAGATTAAATTAAATGTAAGTCAAGCTTTTTTTTCAATGTAACTATAAATTTCTTTCATTTACAAGCCAGATTATATTAGTAAAGCTTTCTGCCTTTTATTTTCCTTCGATATATATGTATATATATAGCGTAAACTTGTGCGTTTTTTAAAGATTTAAACCTTTGTTAATAATTTTATTTTGTCTTTTATCATTGCGATCGTTTGACAAAAATATTACATCAAAACATGCTACAAAGTTGGTCTCGGGAAAACATTCTTGTGAATCCCAACAAACAAGTTTCATTAAGATGGCTGTGCAAGTGGAATTAGCTGTGATTTGCTGGACATCCCCTTTAGTTCAGAGACGATGTTGCCTAAAATGATCTCCTTTTGCTTGATCGATCAGGAGCAGCTATCGGGCATGCTGTCAAATGATTAGAGATAGTTCAGTGAGCGCGTGGAAGGATGTGCACACTCCATTGAAATCTCCGTCGTTTCATTACGGAATCTTATATGAGATAGAATTTCCAGAAAATTGATTACAATACAGTTCAGATTCGTCCTTAGGTTCACTTTGTGCATTACAAGTGATTTAAATGAGAAAATAATGTCTTGCTATCTCAGCATATACTATTTTCTCCCAAATGATGCACACTTTAGATACGAAATTTCCATTACAACTTTAGTAGATCATTTATAAATAAGTGTTTCTGTCTGTGATGGTCTACGACACTATAGTTTAACGAGCGTTGCATTTAGAATATATATTATTCTGCATCGAAGTAATTGCGAGCAGTCCCCCCCCCCCTCCGTTGGGACAGCGGTAAGTTTACCGATTTACAACGCTAAGTTTGGTTTGTTACGAATTTCGCGCAAAGCTACACGAGGGCTATATGCGCTAGCCGTCCTTAATTTAGTAGTGTAAGACTAGAGGGAAGACAGCTAGTCATCACCACCCAACGCCAACTCTTGGACTACTCTTTTACCAACGAATAGTGGGATTGACCGTTACTTTATAACGCCTCCACGGCTAAAAGGGCGAGAATGTTTGTGTGATGGGGATTTGAACCCGCAACCCGCAGATTACGAGTAGAGCGCCATAACCACCTGGCCATGCCGGGCCTACAACACTAAAGTACGACGTTCGATTCCCGCAGAGGACACAGCAGATAGCCCAATGCAGCTTTGGTCTAAAACAACAAAGAAACAAGCAATTCCTTATTTTTTTTTCTTGTCCAAATTTTAAACACACCTTCGATTTTTTCTTTTTATTTGATAAAAGCATGTCAGTTACAAAGATCCGTAAAGATAATCACCGTATTTATTATCATCTGCTACATAAAGCATGTTGATTCTTTACAGACTTGTCATATGAGTAAAGATCTTGTTTCCCCTCTGATTTATTTGGATAATGAAGCTTATTTCGGGAAAGCGAACCAACAGTGTGGAACACATCATCAGCACAGAACTAAAAAAAGGAATAAGTCATCAGCACGGAAATAAGAACATACATTTTATCAACAGAATATTTATTCAGATACATTTTGTACACATGGTTTGTAATATCATAATTTTATTAACTGAAGCAAACATTTAGAATGTGCAGAAAGTAATAAACAGCAGGCATTTACCAATTTATTTTATTCCAAGTATTTGTTATAGTTTACAAATGTATTTTTGTTGAATCCGGGTTGTAACGGCGTGTTATATTCAACATTTACACTTGAAACATTTTCAAATAGATCATTAGTCATTAGCTCCTGAAGGAAAAACTTTAAACTATTGGTCATAAGTTCCTGAAGGAAAATCTGTAAACTATTGGTCATAAGTCCATGCAGGAAAAACTGTACACTATTGGTCATTAGCTCCTGAAGGAAAAACTGTAAACCATTAGTCATTAGCTCCTGAAGGAAAACTGTCGACTATCGGTCATAAGCTCCTGAAAGAAAAACTGAGACATAGATCCTCAAGGAAACACTGTAGACTATGAACTGTAGCCCCTGAAGAGAAAACCGTAGGTCATTGGTTATAGCTCCTGAAGGCAAAACTGTATCGTTTTGTTGCTATTTTAAAATTTCCAAAAAAAGCTAAAATGGAATAAAAAATATCAGATCTGATAAAGCCACGGTAACAGTAGTGAAACATGGTTTTATTTAATGTTTTCTATTTCATTTTAGCTGTTCTCTTAATTTTTAGAGTTTTATTGTGTGTGGTGGGGGGGGGGGGATACCACCAGCATCTATATTTATATTGAGGGTTTTTTCATTATAATGAGCTACAAACCTGAACGAATTCCGAAACTTTTAATGTTAAGAAATTTCAGAGTTGTCATAGATAATTCATTATTTAAATGTAGAGGCTGGTCAGAAATATTTGTATCACACATGATAAATAGAACATTGAGAAATACTGAACAATGTCACTGTGTAGACTGTTTAGCTGTCGAGAAGCTTCAACAATAAGATATTTTCTTCATGAGGAAGCATACCCCAGAAATTTGTGCTTCGAGTCCTTACATCACATGTAAGGCACGCTAATTAACATATAAAGACGACAGAGAGCGGTTAGTTGATGCACATTTTTATTTTTCAGCATCGCTACCCGTGCACAAAATATTTGGATTTATCTTTAATGTTAAAATAAACTTGAATTTATCTTTCTTCGCAGTTGGAGTTGATAGTTATTTCTGAACACTTCAAAGAAGCTCTTGATGTCTTCAAGTAATAATGATTTACAAAGAAAACAAGAGCAATCAGAGAGATTGCATACCCTCGCCCCGCCACTGCTTTTCGACATTGCATGCGCTTATATTGAATAACGTCAAATTTTACCTTCGAAAACTCACAAAATCCTTCTCAGATTCAGAATGACCAACGATCAGATCATTTTTTGTAGTGTGATGAGGTGTCTCAACCTTAATGTGCCCATGAAATCTGGTACAAATCCGATCACACTTTACAGAGTTATTAACCCAAAACCGTGAAAATGTCCTTTTCCCCATTATAAAAAAAAATGCTTCAAGGTGATCCATAATATGGATCTGGATTTGGATACGTATTAAATTTGATGAGACTCGTCCCATACTGACTTCCCATCTTATGTAAAATTTTCTGTCTATTAGTTTTCGAGATACGCGCGTGTAAACACAGACAGACACCCACACGGATCCGATTGCAATACCTTCGTACCACCCCTCCACCTTCCGGGGGCGAGGGTAATAAAGAGTTGTCTACGAAAAAGCCAAAAGGACATAATCAGGTCTAGTTTGTTTGATTTAAACATTTTACATGTAAACAGCCAAATTAGAGTATACAGGTCAACCATATCAAAAGTGAACCAAAAAACAGTCAAGTTATGTAAAAGGGCAAACCTTGTAAAGATGCAATGTAAAAGAGGGTAAGTTAAATAATGCAAAAAGATGGGGAATATTTAATCTTTTTTTTTATTGCAAATAGAACAAACAGAAACATTAGTGTAAAAAGGGGACTAATTGTTCCTCAGTCTTTTCTTGTTTGATCCACTTTTATATCATATAATTACAGGAACTGCTCTTTTATGTAACTGTTTTTGTACATATAAAATGTTTTGGTCACCTGATTATTTATAGGTAAAACACTTATTGCTAATTCATTTCTATAACTAATATATTTTATAACCCCTATTCGCCCTGAAAAGGATGCTTACTTAAATTTCTAAACAATATAATTGTTTAGTTTTATAAGTTGTTTTGTTCCGCTAAAGTTTAAAGGATCTACATAACCGCTTATGTTTATCAATTACTCTTCTTACCTTTCTGTAAATATTTTCATAAATCTTTGTCTAGAGCTTGTTTCTTGCTAGTTTCGGACTTTATGCATATAGGCTCGATAAGTATTATTCTTACCATTTCGAAAAACAGACGTTGAATACATATATGTCATTCTTTCAATCCTATTGCTGACATATTCATCTAAAGCTACAACTCCAAGTAATGTATCTCAGATTTCGAACTTCAAGACTACTGACAGTCTAAAGGTTTATCACAAAAGAGATCACTAAGCATATGATAAGAGAGGTCATTACGTGGCCACAATTACCAGTCCTCTCTTATAACTGGTAAATACCATTGAAAGGTCTAGAATTAGAAAATTTTTGTAACACATAGACGTATATCTTTTCAGCAAAACATATTATTTCTAGTTTGTAATGATATGTACGAGACTAATGATTCAAACACGTACGTTAAATAGTTGTTGACAAATCAGAAATTATTTTACATCATAACATTTAATCTTATTTGTCAATAAGTATTTAATATGTTCGTTTCAATCAGGTGACACGACTTTAGTCTCCGACATATCATTACAAACTATAAATAATATATTATAAAAAAGCTTATGTCTGTGCGTTACAGACCTCTCAATGTTATGGACCTTTTTTGCTGCCAGGCTTAAGAGGGGACTATTTATTTAGCTATGTGATGATATCTCCTGTTATATGCTCAATGACACATTTTATGATAAGCCTTTAGGTTGTCAGTGGTCTTGAAGTTCAAAACCTAAATATACTACTCGGGGTTGTATTCTTAGGTAAATATGTCAGAAATACGATTGAAAGAGTAACCTATCTGTATTAAACGTTTGTTGCCCCCCCCCCAGTGGCACAGCAGTATCTCTGCGGACTTACAACGCTAGAATCCGGGTTTCAATACCCGAGGTGGGCAGAGCACATATAGCCCATTGTGTAGCTTTGTGCTTAATTACAAACAAACAAACACTAAACGTTTGTTTTTCGAAATTGATAATGTTACATATTACAATTTCAAATAGCCTAAAACTGAGTTAACTTGTACTTTGAATTTAGTAGTTAAATAAATGCCGATATATATCCAGTTTATGATATTTGCCAACAAGATTGATACTCGCAGTTTTCCCTTTAATACAAATATGTTTTAATATACAAACAACAATACATTTTACAATAACAGCTATTACAAACAATGATTTATATAGACAAGTTTTACCAACTTACAAGTAATATAAAGTCTTCTTTCTAGTCTAAAATTCACTTAATAGGGAGCTAGCTAGCTGTGTGGTCTTCACTGATCACACGCGGATTTTTCCTACTATTGACGTTAGATAATGTTTTTGTGAAAGTACTAATGTCCGATGTGAATCCACTGAAGTTAAATGACTTGTAATGTTCAAAATTTATAAATGTTCCCGTTTATTGGTTTATAGTATACCAACTATAGCAAACCAATAATATATACTGTTTTTGGCGCGTCGCGTTGGCTATATTTATAGGCATCTGGAAAGTTTCTCGAAATTTCAGTTTTACTTAACAATACTGACGCTAACACTAGCGTTTACGTACACACGTATATTGGTG